TACCAGATTGATGTGGAGGTAAGATGTTAAATGAGTCCAGGTAATTTTTTATTTGAAAATGTAAACTCTTCACAGTTGGGAATAAAAATTAAATAAATAAAAAAAATTCAGCATTTATATTTTTGCATAAATTAACTTCATTAGGCCCCTTCACATCTGTCCATGTGTTTTTGACTAAAATGCCACTTTATTTATAGAACACTTAAAACAACAAGAACAACCAAAGTGCTGTACAGCAGAAATCAATGAACGACTAATGCGGTCAAAAAGAGCTGATAACTATTTTTAAAGACCAACATTTCTTGAAAAGCTGCATTTTTGAACAAACTACTTTTTTCTTAACCAAACAAAACTATAAAACCTACAAGTGTCCATAGTCCTGCAGTGCAGTTTTTAATCCAAAAAAGAAGCAAGACAGAAGAATTTAGGAAAACATTTTATTGGAATATGGCCGGATTTCACAAACTGAAACGAAGTCGTTCAGTTCAGTTTATCAAAATACTTCAGCTTGCCCGACGGGTCTGGAATGATCTGTGCACGAAGAATTAGTTAAATTAGTGCCAACTTATTAAACAAACACATCACTGAAGATCAGCTGAGGCTGAAATGTTTTTAAAGATCAGAAACTAAGCAGATGTTTAATTGTTATTCAGCTTGAAACATCTTATTTAAGCTGGACTGAGAGAATGGTTGGTAAATAAAAACAACAACATCAAGACATTTTAAACTAATTAGACCAATATTAACTCAAGGTCAAGCCAGTTCAAACCGGTCCTACTTACCGTGTCACTGCCTGGTTTCCATCCTGCTGGACACACTGAGGACAAATAAAAATACAACTTAAAGCAGCTCAGACAGCGTAATGAAAAACAGCCATCTACTCTTGCACTAGTCTAAACATTTTTGACCCTAGGGGGGAAAAAAAAGTGTCTAAAAACAAAGTGAGTGAAAGAAAGGCCTCGTACCTTCTCCGTGTTTGTCTGTGTATTGGAAAGCTTGGACCAGCCGCAGCGTCTCGTCCACAGATCGTCCCACAGGAAGGTCGTTCATGGTGATCTGCCTCAGGACGCCTTTACCGTCGATGATGAAGAGACCTCTGAGCACAGGTGACGCAAGAACATTTGCCTGAATTTATGTCAAGCTCTACAGGGCTGCCAAAATTAAATCCATAATAATACAATCTAGATTAAAGAGATGCTTCAGAGCTTTTCATAAGGGGTTCTGCGGAAATCTCATCAACATTAAATATTTAGCGTTGGTATGAGCAGCCTTTTTTTTTAAAGACTGGAGATGTTTTGTCATTCCACCATAATTTTGCCCCCAGCTCACACTGATTTATCAATCGGGACAGATTTTTTTTTCTTCTTCTCCAAACAGAGAGTTCAAAACACCATCTACAACAGGTAGGATATTAACTGTTCATAAACTTTCCACAGATCCACACTTCAAAATATCTCAACTACTCCGTAATTCCCTTGAAGTCCCATTAAATAAATTTATGACAGTGTTACATTTTGAGTTTTGTGAAGACCCTCCAGACCCAAAAACTGAAATTTACTGTCAAACTTATTCCTCCCTTGGTGGTCGAAA